GCTATTCTAATAATATTTATTCTTTCTTTAATTCCTTTTAGGATCTACATTTTCTTTCAAATTTTTATGCAAAGCTTTAATGGCTAAATCATGGGACTAAATTAACAATATGTAATGGCAATATTAGAAATAAATCTTCATAGCATTTCAGAATTGTACTGCCCCTTCACATTGAGGAAAAAGACAATTCTTACTCCACGCCTAAAGGGAATTACAAGCCTAGGAATTGAAATAAATACACAAAGAAATGAGCATGCAAAAAATACTTAGTAGAAGCAGAAACCATACTTTATTAATCTAAAAGCAGATTCCAGTTCACATATCTAGTGTTTCACTTCAGTGCAATATCTTTAAGGTCCATTTTAAAAAAATTAAAATTATAGATTGAAAGAAAACATATTTTCAGAATTATAAATTCAAATGTAGATAATTTGAAAAGTTGATATTTTGAAGGCTGGATATTTTGATGGGTTGTGTAAAATACTCACTTTTGGCTTTCCAGTATCACCACAAATTCACACAACTAGTTTTAGCATCCCATGCTAGAGGGCTTACTGGCAAGTTTTTAAGGCTGTTGAAAAGCTACTTATATATTTGAAACAGAAAGAAAAAAAAGGAGAAGAAAATTGTAGGATGAGAAGTATTGCACAAGAAAGAGATTATAAATTATGTCCTTCTTAGGCAGAAAATAAATCCTTAGAATCCAAAGGGTAAAGGAGAAACTAAGATTGACCTTCTGCCATTGAATCAGCTCTAAATGGTCTGAGTCATCTTGATTCTCAGCAAAAAATCTCAATTCAGTGGAGAGTAAACTGCATAAAGAACTTTGCAGAGTGTATATCCAAGGTAGAGAGAAATGTCAGTCAGCATCTCCTGAGAAGCATGAAAATAAGCTATTGCTGTATTGCTACAAAACATATCCTCCCAAAAAAACCCTAAAAAGGACAAAGCCTGTCAGTGTAGTTAAGCACTCTGCTCTCTGCTAAGAATTCAGAAGTTCCTTGCATATTAACATAAATTTTTCACAAAATTTAGATATGTGGTTTACGATATATGTGAAATTCACAGAAGTCAGTATTCTCATAGGTACATATATATGACATCAGTCCACTGTCAGAGTCAGTAATATTCTAATTCCTTCATTCAGAAAAGGTGAGTTTAGGAATTTCTAAAAGTTAACAGCAGGCAAAAAATTATACCTTCTCTAGAGATCCCAGTGAGTATACGTATTGGCACAAGTAGAAAAAAGTGAAATCCAGGGAAAAAAATTATAATACAGTTTAAATTGCTAGATTATAATAATACACTTAATTATTCTAGTGTGAGAATTCCTAAGCCTGAAATTGCAGAAGTGTTAAAGATCAGCAAAAGTTTGCACCTGGTGACACTAAGAAGTTCCAAGTTGAGATTGTTAGGTTTGGGCAGTTAAGGCTGAGTCCAGCAGGCAGTCAGAGAGGAAACTGCCTTGTCCCAGGAATTTCCCTAAAAGACAGAGAGCTTGCTTCACAGCTGCAACCTGGACATCTGTTTTCAGCATACATGCTAGAAAAAATACTTCACTTACAAACACATGAGTTAAAATATCTCAGAGAAAAGACAAATAAATCAGTTTTTGCATAACAACCTACAAGGTAGGGAAAACTTGGGTTAGAGGGAAGTTGAAAAATACCTCTCCTTTGGAATCAAAAGGTATGGTCTGTCATAATAGTTGCATCAGTTGGTAGTGCTGGAGAAACTAACTTCTGATGCTACAGATATCTTTAGGATATGAATCTCAAAATCTAATGCTTACATGAACTTATTTAATGTTAAAGGGATTAGCAAGAAAACAATAAACAAATGCAACAACATACCACAAGAATTCAATGATACAGAACACAAGTCAGAGAAGAGAGAGTATAAATGATGCCTTGAATCAGCAGAATCTCCTAACAGCAATAGAACATAATAGATGTTTGTACAGCTCAGGTTCTGTATAGCCCAAATGTGCAGACTCAGGCTTGAGCTTGCAAAGTCTTACAGAACTTATTACTTTCTTTCCTCCAGCTTGGATAAGCAGACATAAACTTCTAGTTCTATCCACTAGGATCAACAGATTAAATGAGGTTCATTTCTTTGAATTGACTAAAGAAAGAATTTGCAACAGAAGATAGAATACCCAGGTGCACCTTTTCTACCATTTGTGAATTAAATAGGACAGAAATATTGTGAGTAGTAATTTACAAGGCTATTTAGTGGAGAAAAGCTGACATTCTGAAAGGTATAAAGCTTAGTATCACAAGAAGAATCAAGCAAACAGAGATCCTGGTTTTCTTATCCCTGAAAGATAAGATTTTTTTGTACATCTGCTTAGATAATTTCTCTCACAAGGTTAGAGCTTAATTAGGAAAAAAATTTACTAAATATTCTTAAAAAGGGCAAGAACATAGAAAGTAGATCTACCTGTAATAACATCATTGCTTAGCAGAGGAGCTATGCTTGTGAGCAAGCTCTAAGAAGTGCAGAAAACCTATTTCTGCCTTGTGGCAAGAGAGAGAAACTACTAGTATTCCTTTACTGTAAATCACTCTGATCTCCACCTTTTTTTCACTCCCAACCTGCAGGCTACTCATGAAAATGTAATATTTTTCTGAGGAGAGTGCAATAGAATTTGACTCACCTGTATGTAACTATTCCCTGCTGTAACTTCCAACCAACACTTTCACGTCTCCTTGCTGGGCTGAACACTTACTGACCATCATACAGCTTTCACTGTCCCACACTGTGCTGGCCCTGCTCAGCTCCAGCCATGAGTGCCAGGCCAAGCAAACACTTTCACGTTTCCTTGCTGGGCTGAAACACTTACTGACCATCATACAGCTCTCACTGTCTCACACTGTGCTGGCCCTGCTCAGCTCCAGCCATGAGTGCCAGGCCAAGCCCTGGCTGAGGGCTAAGCCCCTCTTTAGCCACTGCTGGAGAGCGTGCAGCCAGGATATCAGTGGCATGGAGAGCAGCAGCATCTCAGGCACACTTCCCTGAGAAGCAAGCTAGGATTTGGGTACAGTCCAGAGTCATATCCTGCACCCCATTTACACCTGTTCAAATACTCTGATAGTCAAGCCAATAAAGACTGGCAGACTTTCAGAAAAGCAGATTTATACTGTGTTCCATGCAAAACAAATACTTGAAATACAAGCTGGCAAAGCCATACACTTAGTTACTACTGATGCAACATTTGGATCACCTTTTAATCCTAGAGAACAGCAATAATAACAAGTGATTGTAGAATACAATCTCCTACAATATATTTGTTTTCTACTTGGGTATCTTATTAAATGTGGGTGTAGAATTCTTATTCAGATTTTCCAAATTATGCCAGATTTGGCACAAGGCTAACTAATTCCCCCCAACATTCAGAAAGAAAAATCACATTTCCTAATCCCCATCTATAGGTCTAGTTGCTCTTTATGATCTCCCTAATTAATTTCATGACAAACTTATGTAATAGCATCATGACATCATCAGAGTTTTGATCCCCTAATGCTAATTCCCTAATTAGATGTGATGACACAGAGGCCATGAGTCTTGCTGCTGTCTCAGTGTGACATTGCACAAGCAAGAAAAGCCAGTGGATCTGCAGTGATTTGTGTCACAATGGATCACAAACATCACTTGAAAATGGTGAGCATAAATTGCCAAGTTACAAAACTTGCTGAAATTATGTGACAGAAATAATGCCAGACAATGAAGCAATTTTCTATTCACACAGAAATAATTTCCAGAATGTGCTGATAAAAAAAATCTTAAACACCTTAATTCAAAAGGCCAAAAGGCTCTATGACTCCATTGAGGATGAAAATTTCACCAGGAAAGGTCATTTAAATCATAATGTTTACACCATAAAAAACTTCTGCTTGACATGCAGTTATATTGTCCCTCAATTTATGATATCCATTTATCAGATAACTCTAAATGTGTATAGAGGGATCTGTGCATCCCACAGGAACCAAAGAACACTGCTTTCTCAGTAGCAGTATGAGGTAAGGAGATGGGTACCAATATGCAGAGTCTAGGAATTAGATTCACGAGGAAATCTTAAAACTTCTCAAGTTTTACTTGTGACCACTCAAGCACCACTGAAATCCCTGGAACAGCTGATGGCCTGAAATGCAGGGATAACAATGTTGAATTGCCTCTGCAGTAAGGCCCAAGAGGGTGTTCAGGACAGTGCATGAGTCTGTGGCTGAGCAGAAAATTGAATGCAAATGCCCCACTCTCACTCAGCCTAAGAAATGTTTATCAGAAGAGGTTTCACTTTGATCTGCAGTCCACAGAATCCAATGATACCAGTGTGCACATGCCAGTCAGGAAAGACTGTGCTGAAAATACAGCTTAATAATTTCCCTCAGGCTCCCTCATACCAAGTCAGCTGGCAACCTGAGAAGAGCCATCAGTATTTTTCTTTATAATTAGCATGTACTATAAGAAAAATGTTGATGGAATTTTTTGTGTGATCCAAATGTTTTGGATGTGGAAATGGCTTAAAATAAACAGGAACAAAACCTCTGCCAACATAAAAATGCAGAACTATTCTAAACTGAGTTACCATGTAAAACCTGGCTATGGTTAGGTTACGTTCTCCTTCATAACAATATTTTATTGGACTCCACAAGATATGCAACTCTCAAATGTAAAGTCGTTTAAGAACGAAAATAATTGCAGACTTAAAGGATATTAAGATTTAATCACCAAAATTATGGGTCCAGGTCAGAGGTACTTCACTTCCCTGTATTCTGGCACTTCAGTACATCACAATCACTTAAAATTTAATTGCAGTCATAGGGACTCCATTCCCTCTCATGAAGGAATATTACACGGGCAGGAATTTTGTTCCCAGCTGCCACAAGTGATTGCTAGCAGAGAGCAGCCCATAAACACAAACATTTGATAGTTGCTGAGATTATTTCATTTAAAAATATACCCAAGAACTTAGCAATGTATCTACTATATTTTCCTACCTCAGCTAATATGGAGCACGGCAACATCACGTGGCTTCTCTGAGGCTGACACCTGCTGCTCGAAATCGTGTTCACCTGTGAAGGAAACACAGGATATTGTGTCCATCTCTCAGAAATGGCCTTGTTTGTAATAATGTGCTGACAGCAAACTAGAAAAGACCTGTGTAAAACACGGGTTTGTACCAAAATAAGGAGTGGTGAGCATTACATCAGGGAAGAGATGTTCACTCTTTATTCCAGTATGAAAGATCTTCAAGTTAATTTAGATTTTACTACTTTTTTACATAGATTACAGCCATTTTTTGTTCCAAATAATAGTATATATCCTAAGATTTATACTTAAAATTGTACTAATTATATGTCTGCATACATCAACAAAACAAATCCTTTATCTCTTGTTGGCAGAGCTTTTCTAATTCTATTAACTTCAAAGAAATTTAAGCATGTTCTTAAATTATGAACAAGAGGACTTTGGTGAAGAGGCATTAATTGAAGCTTAAAGATTTTCAAATTTAAATTTTAATCTATCAGGCTTCTACAGAAGCCTAGGAACACAGGACTAAAAGGAAGTGCCAAGCTGTGAAGTTGTTTTGTGCAACCTTAGTACAGTGGATCTTTGGTTCTTAAGGATCCACAGAATCCTTATTCTCAACGCTGCCCTTACAAAAACTTTCCTATTCCCTTGCAAGAAAATTAGGATCTGTTGTTAAACTTAAAACAAAAAAAAAAAAGCAATAACTGCCTGAAAGAAAAACCTTCCCTTCTAATCTCTGCTATAGGAAAAAGTACTGCGGATGTAATGATATTAGCAAACAGCCCATGACTGATATAGTCAATTGACTAAAATCTCTGGAGAAGTTAGAATCTTCAAGAATTAGAAAACTTCTAAATGCTGTGTAGTCCCTCTAGATTGCTCTCTTCTTCCTTAAAAACACCCTGTATAACCAATATAACCACAATTTCTCTGATTATTTAATTTTTAAAACTCTACTTTAAAAGCTTCCCTCTAGGCTCTTCCTAAAAGATACTGAAATAGTCCATTAGCTGTCTTCTGTTTTTCCCAGCTGTTCCCCTCACTGTTCTTCATTTAAGTCTCACCCATTTTTTATGTTCTGTCCTTCTGGTGTCCCTGTGTTCTCCCTCCAGTTTCTCTTTAATCTTTCCACATACTCCCTTTCCCTCATTCAGTTTCTCATTTTTCAGCATCTTGCATCTCCTTCTCTCTCCCTATTGCATGGCCTCCCAAATTCATCTTTGATTCCTTTTCTTCCTCTGATGCTTTAATAAACTGCAGCTGACTCTTTCTCCCTCTCATGCCTGTGCCTGTGCATATTTCACACAGGGCTTGGGGCTCAGCAGTCCAGGAGTCAGTAGGCTAAATAGAAGAGAAAGCAGATGCTTCCCAGCAATATCAAAAAACCAAAATGCTCTGTGTGTACAGCCTGGCTGCCAGCAATGCACTGACCATCTCTGATGCTCTGCTCCCCTCATGAAGGTGGCTGGAGGAGCCTGACATTGTGCATCCCTCCTCTCATGAGGGAGCCAGTAGCAATGTGAAGCAGAGTGGTTGCTCAATTCTGTGAGACTTAGGCATGTACCAGGCAGGTCTCACTGGGAGATGGGAGAATTTTAGCTGTGACCCTGTCACTCTGGGCATTTTTAGCCCTGTCTTTGGGGCAATAAAACACAGCTGTAATTATCTGCATTCAGCTAGTGTTTATCCAAAGCAATGAAAAAAAAAAGTGCTTCATAAGCAAGAAAATTTGGCATATGTTCTTGAAATTTCTCTCAGATTGTTAGAGGCTGAACTTATTTATCAAGTAAATAGAAAATGCTGCTCTACTGTTGATCAATTCACTTTTATGAATCCAGGGCCAAACTCTGCTGTTCACATTCCTTTCAAATCCTCTCTCAGGCAAGAGTCCCAGAGACTCCTTGACACTCCATTATACAGTTACATAATACTACCATTAATACTGCACACGGAGATGTGCATGCACAGCTACTGCACATTGGGACTATAGGCTCAGTTCATTAAAGAGACACCAACACAGCCCTTATTTATTATTTATTGAGTGTTAACAATACATTGAAGAAAAGAGAACAAGCTCTGAGAATTAAGGACCAATATGTGTCAGCTATTCAGCCATTAGCTCAAGACTAAAAAGGGACTAAGATCCATCTTCTCCAGAATAGCACCAAAGGAGCAATGTATTCTTAATGTTGTGCAAGCACTGCAGATGTGTGTTGGCCAGTGTCAAAAGCTCTCAGTGCACTCAAATGGGGATGAACTCTAGAGCCTGAGATGTATCCCAGATGGCTTTTTTTTCCATAGCATTGAGGTAGGTACTGGTCAGAGCCTAGACTAATCTTTACACAGGAGAAACATACATAATACATGAGATTGCCTTTCCAGAGGTTGCTGCTATGAGTTTGGAGAGAGATGAGTGAGCCTGAATGAGACATCAAGAAGCCATCTGTGAGAGTATGGCTGAAATGTTACAAGCATCCCTATAAATATCTCTCGATGAGGAACTAGTTCTGTTTTAGTGATATGAAGTCTTTTTATGAAAGTAGTTACTAGGCAGCCTATGAAACATTTTCTCTGGCAGTACTCCGCTGTATGCATTAGGCAGCCTGTCTCCCTCGAGCTGCTGTTCTGGGGGCATGCCTAGCAACAACCTACAGGATCCCTCTCCAGACAAGCCTACCCCTGGAACACATCTCACCAATCTGCCTCGCTGCCAGGCTAGAGCATCATGTTCACAGCTGTGCTGGTTTGGGGGGAGACAGCAAGCACACACCTCCAGGAGGAGCTCTGGACAAGGGCATTTGGCTGAGCAGCAGCAGCTCTGAAGGACAGCAGCATGGGAGCCAAGGGTGGGCTTCACACTTGGCAGCTGTAGCCTGAAGATCCTCACTGTATTACTATGACTGTAACCCCTGAACAACCACTTCTTAGCTCCTATAAGGGAGTGGGAATTGGGCAGCAAGGCCAGGGCCACAACAGCAGAATATTTTTACAAAAAAGTAGTAACTGTTCTGAGTAGGGTCTAGGAATCAATTCTATGGGCAATTTCTAGGCATATCTACTGACTCAGGTATTTCAGATGCACAAGGAGACATCCTCTTAGGATGTAACACCAGCAATGAGCTCTGGGAAACTTTCAACAACTTTCAATGCAAAAAGATGCCTAGATTTTAATCACTTCCAATTTACTAGGAAACAGAGGAGGAAGTACTTGTGCTCATAGCTCAAATATGACTTAAAGGGATTTATTTAATACCGCATTCCACAGCCAGAAAAATTAACACATATATCCTTAGTTCTGAGATGGAATTCCCTAATCTCATTATTTTGCTACCTCTATTATCCATGGTCGCCTTTTTCCATCTTCTGGCATTTTTGGCAAAAGACAGTGTTATACAAGTTCCAATCAGATCTAAGGCACTACTTAGGATTTATCTAGAAATACAAATAGCATATTCTATTTCATTTGTCTCCATTTATGGGTGAAGCTCACCTATACCAATCAAAAAGTGCTTACCAATAAATCAGGAGATGTTGAATATGCTCTAAACTTTTTTAAAAATCGACTAAAATTCAAATAAAGCACACTAGAGCTATCAGTAGCACTTATGCTCCCCAGTGTGGTAAAAATGGAGTGAGAAGGTAAACAGAGAATGTGACTGGAGAAATTGAATTAGTCAATGAAAAAGGGAATAAGGTCACTGTGCTGTGAAGAAAATCTTCACAGTAAGAAATCATTTTTATATGCCAAATCGACATAGTCATCATAGAGATGATGGAGTATAATGAAGATGATGACATTTTAATGAAGAGAAACAGAAAGAAAAATAAAGAATGTTGATACTTTCCTCTGAGTTACTGACAGTTCTATCTCCCATTTGTATCAATCTCCCATTTTTATCATATCTATCTATTTGTCAGGAGGGCAAATGTGCTGCATGAATATAATGCAGGAAAGCTTAGAATGTGGGCTAGTGAGCATTTGTATATACTTTGATAAATTTTCTAAAGTGAACCAACTGAGGAATTCCTGGAAGGTCCAGATTTCCTGCCCAGATGACAATCAACACATTGAAACATAAGTTGTTCTGGCATAGAGAGAGCTGTCTGGGGAAGCCTTCAGGACAGTCCAAAATTCCCTCCAAAATAGTTCTTGTGCAAATTAGTCAACCACTTAGCTGTGAAGGTGGCTAAGAATTCATCCAACCACTTTGTCTCATGAGCTAATGCTCATTGTTTAAATTGTGCAGGATTTTGTCTCTGCAGTTGACCGGATTGAGAGTTCTGCAGCAGCCAGTGGTGGCAGATTGGTGAGCACAAAGGCACAGCCCTGACACCCAGCTACACAACAATTAGATTGCTGTGTGAACCCAAGGAGTTTCAGACTTACTACTTACATTTCATGGCTCTTGCTCCTGCTGAATGCCATGATGGTGAGAAAAAAAATAATTTTTACAGTAATTGGTACTCAACTTATGAAAACTGCTGTTAGTGAAGGTCTCCTCTGATTTTTATCTGTGTGCCAGCTACCCCTCAGTTCCATGTATATCCACAGGGACAGGTGCTTTTTCAAACACTACTCAGGCTTTTACAGATAATGAAGTGTTCATTCTTGTATCAGAAAGAATTCTTACATGATCTAAAGCTCACAAAAATCAGCCTTAGCTGATTTTTTAGCTTTGTTAAGGCTGAAAAAAAAATGATCAGACAAAAATATTGCAATAACCTGAACTATATTCATGGCGGAAATACTGAAATATATATTCCAAACAATCTTTAGAGGAACAGAGTTCATAAAATTATTCCACATAGTCACACTTTTATGCCTCTTTCTCCAAGAGGATTTCTCTTTGCATTTTAAGCTTGGTGCTGCAGTAACTAAAAGTCTCTTTTTTCTGACATGCATATTAGTTTTGATCCCAGGGTGTAAGGACAGAGGACAGACAGAGCAGTGGGAAGCTAACTCTGTGAACAGCAAAGGCATTATTTGAAATAACTGACAGAACAGAGATGAGTCTGGTATGTAATGTAACCTGAAGATCAA